TGTAGACCTTTGTGGCTTCCGGGCTCTAGGCATTTGACAGATGGGTCTGTGCTGCATACCTATGTGGGCTGCCAAGAGTGGAAAGATTTACTTTATTTGCCTGAACCTTTTCACAGGAACAGAACATGTTAGGTAATATTACAAGAGCTTTATTTAGACCACTGAATTCATAGGGGCTGTGTCCCAAAGTTACAGTTAGTCTCTGGGTAATGACATTTCTGTGTGCAGGAAGGGTGGAGTGGATTTCTGGAAAGCTGAAAGACAATTTCCACAAACCAGAAAGCCGAATTCTGCAAGTTTGCAGCAAGCAGAACAAGTTATACAAACCCTGCTTAATGGCTCTAACGTCTTTGCCACATAACGTAAAAATTCTAACATGAGTGTATTGGACACAGAGGCTTGGTTGAGACCTTGGTGGATTCTCAGGTTTTCACATTCCCTTCTCCTCTTGTGAGTGGTGAGATTTTTTAATTTGGTTTATTATATTTTTGTCCTGCTTGTCTGCCAGAATTGGCTTCCAAAGGTGCCCATGGGACTAATCAGTGTCATTCAGTATAAACAAACCATGAGGAGGGGATTCACAGCTAAATTCGATTCGGCACAATGGATGAGTATCTGGTTGTTTCTTGCAGTCCCTTCTCATGTCCTGTCAAAATTCCTGATTTGCAGCAAACTGATTGTGGTACACCTACCCATGCAATTAACATCTGATGAAAGTATAAGTTTTCATGCATGTATTCCAGCATTCTTGGGTGCCTCACTTTTCTGACTGGATTGACAGAACACAGTAGCAGCTCAGTAATGTATAACCCTAGGATCAGGGCCATACCCCTTGCATGGAAGTACTCAGCCTTCACAGCAAGAGCACATTTGGGCACATCATATATCAAATGACCGTCACTGAAAAGGATCAGAATTGCAGTATAATGGAATAGTCCAGGATAAAGCTGCCAACCCTGACTTGGGAAATTCCCAGAGATCTGAGGGCAGTGCCTGCGGATGGAGTTTGGGGAGGGGAGGGAG